CTCTACCTTGACGTTGCAGAGCCAGGGGCGTGTTCTTGGTCATATTTCCCCCATATTCTTATCGTCAATGTAGCATCGGGGCATGGCTGTAACAGACATTTTAGAGCAGATGTACGGCAGCTGGCTGTGGTCTGCTTCCCCACTTCCATGCGCGTGTGCGTGTCAGAAGCGAGGAAACTTCTCATTACTTGCGAGGTGCCATGGGTGCTTGAAAACACAAATGAAGCTGTTGCTGTTGCGGGGAAAGTCTACACCAAATTGCGCATGCACTGCCAATGAGGATGGCGAACCTTCCTTCTTAGGATGACATGTCATAGAGTTCCAGCAATTGTCAACTCCACATCAACCTGACGGGGTCGTAAGTTGATCAGGAGTTGTCCTTCTTCGAGTCATTCAACTTGCAGGGTGACGTATCACCGCATCAGTGAGCCTGAGCGCGCATTGTACTACGCATCACAAGTTTGGAAGGATCAACTTGACTCGGGGAGGTTTGCTATTGCGGTTTTGAGCTGTTTCCAACCTAACCATCTCGAACAGATCGACAATGACCAGGCTTACACACCACCAACTGAATGCCCTTCCATCTTAGCGGAGCGTCTCAGCAACGGCTTGGCAGTAAGGTATAGCGCCGGGTTTCTCTGCAGCGGCGTGGACACCACAGCGCAGCGGTATTGGGACACTTCAAGACGACAAAATGAACGATCCGGAGGCAAAGCCGACGCCGACTCTCCCTCCCCGGCTCCTAGGGCCAAGGTCTGTTCCGCCGTGCGGGTAGCCCTTCGTGTGGATAGTCATGTCACTCAGCATGCTATTATGAGCTTCCTTTTAACGCTAACCAGCGCCAAGACAAGCCGCTGAAGCATCGTGAGTCGGCTCCGTTCTCTGCAGGCCCGCATCCCAGGGCTCAGGTATTTCTGTCCTTGTTCTCCTCGGCCCTCAAGCGTTCGAGCAGCTTCCCGCGGAGAAAGGAACTCAAGCCAAGACTAAAGGTTGTACAGGATTGTCAGTTGAGGACGGCGACGTGTTGCGCCGACAAAGACGCATTGGAGTGACTGTACTTACGCTCCCTCGTTCGTCAGCATGCGATACGTTCCACTCGACTGAAGATTTCCAATGATGTTGCCCTCGGGATCAACCTCTAGGCTGCCAATGATGTCCTCAGGCCAGGCAATGCGTCCAAAGTCGGGCGGGTTCCTCGAGTCGCTGAGGTGAATATACCCACCCCGTCCACCACCGCCTGCTCCTCCTTGTCCACTCGCACCGCCGGCACCTGTCGTCTCGCTCGGCTTCCTGTTGCCCCTCCTATGCTGCTGCTGGGCACCGAATATGCCACCAGCCCCAAGGCTGCCACCACCAGGCCCTGCAAAGGCACGGGCCTGAGCAAGAAGCTCCTCGTCCTGCGGTGCATGTTCGGCGAGAACTTCGTACATTATGTTGAGGAAAGATTGGTTCTCCGTGAAGGATTGCGGCGTTGGGGGATCTTGGGTCGCAAAGCCGACGGCTAACCTGGGGTTCGGAGGCTGGCTATCGAGAAAGCTGAGGAGGAAGGAGGCCCTCGAGGCATCTGCTGGGAAGACTTTCTGACCGGGCAACAATCAGTCATGGCCTTACATACGGCTAGCGAGGAGAAGGACCTACGATATGCGGGTTCGTCGGCAGTGTTGAGACGACGCGGACGAACCTTACGGCGCTTTTGAACCGCGGTACAAAGCGAGCTGTCGATACCAACATTTTGAATGCGTGTTGAGTATGGATCGTGTACCGAGTAGAAATGCTTTAGGATCTCAAGAACATAACCAACAGATGCCGTAGCTCGTACAGCTCTCGAAAAGTGATTGGAATTGGAGCGTTGACATCACCAAAGTTGTTTCGACTGACCGGGGCGCATGCTCCGTATTAAGCATGGAGCATACCTCTCTCTTGGGGAGCTGACTAGGCCAAAGCCTGCACGCAGCAAGCGCTGGCTCCTGCTCAAACCGTGACTGGCCCCCACCAACGCGTCCCCGGTCCTCAGGACGCGTCTCAATTAAACATCTGGGCGCTTTCTACCTACCCGCACCACAAAGATCGTCCCTTCAAGTCGACATTCGGCACACTTGAAGGACACTTCCCGCGCGACATCACACGGCATCCGGAGATATTTAGCGGCACAGTCTGGTAGCGAAACCATGGATCTTCCGCCGACTGTTTCTCCAAGACGTAAGAAGACAAACTTGGCTCACATCTTCAACGGCGCAAGGACGCCCGCCCCCTCCTCGTCTGCCATTCCCTCCTCTTCCCCCGCCTTCGGCACACCCGTTCACCCGTTGAAGCCGTTCAACGTCTCGGCCCCTACGAAACACGCCATCCTACCCATACTCCTCCCTCCGGCTACTTTGCGGCCCCTCGCCTTCCGAACCTTCACCAAGAAGCACAGCCTGACCCTGACGTCGACGGCATTGCAGGAGCTCGCTACGTTTATCGGCCGGCATTGCGGATCAGGATGGCGCGAAGAGGGCCTAGCGGAAAAGGTTCTCGAGGAGGCAGCCAAAGCCTGGAAGGGTCGCAATGGAGGAGTCATTGTGGATGGCGGCAGCTCTGAGCTCAAGGAAATATTGAAGACTATGGAGGGCAACATGAGTGGAGGAAAAATCATTGCTGGTGGAAAAGGTCTGAGCCGCCAGAACAGCATGCTAGAGCCAGGCAGGGACGCAGAAACGGCTTCGCATACCAGGCTGGGACTGAGGCCAAATCAGGCCTTGACTAGGGAGGACAGCCAGCAGAGCTTCGGCATGTCGAGCCTGGAGGTCGAAGAGGAGGAGAATGACGAAACAGTCAACGACGCGAGGAAATGGCTCAAGGTGATTGGGGCATACGACCAACCACGACTTTGCTACAACGTGGCCAAGAAGCACTTCGAGAGGTATGTTCAGCTGGCTCTCTTAACGATTCCTTCCTCTACTGACAGTCTTTCTCAAGGGAAACTACAAAACCGTCTCTTTTGCCGCCAGCATCACACAAAACAGCACTTTTCCGAAATCGTTACCACGTCATTCACCAGCGTCTTCTGCGGAATGAAGCATTCCAGACCTCAGCTGTCGCCAGTGCAAGAGCATCAACACTTAAGAGGTCGTTATCAAACCAGCAGAACCACAAGATCACACCAATCGCAAACCTGCTGGGTCGCCATGGAAGTCACCACATGCTACTCGGCATGCTGGTTGTGCTGCCGACGGGCGGCCTGGCTATTAGCGATTTGACAGGCACTATTGCGCTCGATCTCTCCCAGGCAATTGCCATCCCAGAAGATTCGGCTTGGTTCGCCCCTGGTATGATTGTCTTGATGGATGGCGTGTACGAAGAGGAGGAGGAGTCACACGGCAAGGGCCTGAGTGGCAGCAGCGGCGTAGGAGGAACCCTCGGCGGCAAATTCCAAGGTTTCTTCGTTGGTCAGCCCCCTTGTGAGAAGAGGAGAGCAACACTGGGCGTGAGCGGGCCCGATGGTGGCCAGGATCACACTATTGGCGGTGGATTCGGCTGGATCGACTTCCTTGGTGTCGGCAGCGAGAGGGCAGTTGGTCCGCGAATGCGGAAGCTTGAACAACGTTTGCTCCCCAGACGCTCTGCTGAAGACACCCCCGGTCGAGGTCGTATGATCATCCTTGGCGAGGTAAACCTCGACCAGCCGCGTACCCTTCAGGCATTACGCAAAATCTTGTCACTGTATGCCAATGAGCCGGAGGGACAGAGCCCGATGACATTTGTCCTCACGGGCAATTTCACACAACATGCCGTTCTGGCCCGAGGCGGCAGTGGAGGCAGCATCGAGTACAAGGAGGTCTTCGACGCGCTCGCAAGTACCTTGGCCGACTTCCCAACACTGCTGCAGACTGCGACCTTTGTCTTCGTCCCGGGGGACAATGACGGTTGGGTTTCCTCCTTCGGCGCTGGAGCGGCCGTTCCACTACCGCGCAAGCCAGCCCCCGAGATGTTCACTTCTCGGATCCGGCGGACATTTGCTGCCGCCAATGCGGAACTGAATAGTGACAGCGAGAAAAGGGCAACGGAAGGCGAGGCAATCTGGACGTCAAATCCCAGCCGGCTGAGTCTCTTTGGTCCCAATCATGAGATCGTTCTGTTCCGCGACGATGTCGCAGCCCGCCTCAGCCGTACTTCCGTCCGGCTCAAGTCCACGCGTTCAGCCATCTCCGCAGCCAACTCCGCAGCCGACGATCCGGATAATCAAGACACCCCCTCCACGGGCGGCGACGTCGTCATGTCAGGCGCGGTGGGCTCAAATGAAACCCCCGTAGACCAAGAGGCCATGGATGTCGATACGACCAACGCAAGCACTGCCACCTCGTCGGCCGCCCCTTCGGTCTCCCAAGAGGTCCACCGTGCACGCAAGCTCGTCAAGACCATTCTCGACCAGGGCTACCTTGCGCCGTTCCGACACGCCATTCGCCCCGTGCACTGGGATTACGCGGCCGCGCTGCACCTGTACCCGCTACCCACGGCGCTGGTGCTTGTCGACACCACGGCGCCGCCGTTTGCCGTCACATACGAAGGATGTCATGTTATGAACCCGGCGAGCTTGCTGGTGCCAGGCAAGACTAGGGTTGCGAGATGGGTGGAGTATGAGATTGGCAAGATGGGAATGATGAGGGACTTGTCGTTTTAAGTGCATAGGCATTATGAAGAGACATGGTACGGCGTTTGAACTTGAGGCGTGAAGAGCTACACTGGCTAACGGGTCTGCTTCAATGCGTACGGAGGCGAATGGGTAATGATATGATTTGGTATTTACCCTGTGCATCGTGGAATCTCCGCAATACAAGGCTTTAACCATATAATAGCACTCGAAAGTCAAGTGCGCCGTTTTCATGACGGGATTACACTTGCCTCCCAGGTTGATGAATAAAACGTCGTATATTCTAAGAAGAAATAAACCGATCCATCCCCAGCGCCAGCCCAAACAAAGTTGAAAAAGAGTAGTGTCGGGAACCAGAACGCAAACACCTCTACCGCAGGAGCAGCGATTCGTCGTTCAGCACACCAAAGAGACCTTCCATCTCCTTTTGCACGCATTGCAGCTCATGCGCGACTTGGGCCGTTACCAGCGTATATGCGTAGAGCAGAGCATAATCCTTCTCCTCAGCCGTTACGTGCAGCTCGAGCTTGGGTGGCTTCAGCTTGGCCTTCCCATGCCCGTTCCCGTTCCCGTTTCCATTCGTCGCTTCATTGTCATTCACACCAGCGTCGTCCTCTTGGTCGTCTTCCTTGACTGCAGCGAGCGATGGCTGGTGCTCTCTACGAAATTGGTAGATTTTACCCAGGAGCCTGTCCTTGGTGCCCTCCACCGATGGGATGGCGTCTGTCAAGGGGTATTCGAGCATGAAACAACTGGCCAGAACCTGGAAGACGTGGCAAATGCGGTCACAAAGTTGAGCTCGCTCGGCTGCCGTATGTAATAGGAGAGCACGTTCGCCAGCTGAAAGACTCCCGCGCTTCGATGTCACGAGGCGCATGGCGTGGAAGCCGTCAACGATCCTGAGCGTGGATTGCATGATGCGCGCATACGCATCATCGGGGAAGGGGCCACGAAGTTCGAACTCGGACTTAGCTGACGCTCGAAGAGCGTCAAGTTTCAGCGCTACGTGCGTACAGTGTCAGTCGGATGCCTCAGGCGAGACTAGAAAAGGGCTCGCGTGCTTACCATATCGCTGCACAGCCTTCTCCTCGCCAGCCCTCATGTAAGACCGCGTACTGTCGCTATTGAGCAGGATAGCCAAAGGTCCACGCCTCCAGATGAGGCCGAGTTGTACATAAAGAATTGTCAGTCCTTCTTTGAACTTGCGCCTGCCCGAAATAGGCCAGATCATCCGGCAGACAACGATGCCCCAGAGAATACCGAGATTGACAGATACAAGTCGGTGGTACACAATCTCACCCATCATGGGGTTCAGGCCGCCCTCGTCGTCGTCGTCATCGTCGACCTTCTGCGACAGCGAATATGCGTAAAGAACGGTTACATTCCATGCGAGAAGCGTGGTTCGGCCAAGGGGTGGGTTCTTGAGAACCAGCATGACATAGAAGCTGCCGAAGCTGATGGCCCAACCGGAAAAGGCCAGAACAACACCGTTGCCTTGACTGACGGCCCAAAAGATCAGGGCAAAGCAGCCGCCGAACAATGTGCCGAGAGACCTTGCTGTACCAGTGGTATTGGCGGCGCCTACGGTCATGCTCGTGACAATCATGAAGGACAGAAGACCCCATTCGCCTCTCCAGTGCTTATAGATGGGTCTGGTGGCGGGAAGGAAAGCAAGCATGGCCCATAGCATGGCGCCCAGACCTACTTTGATGCCGAATCGAACTACACATAGTCAGTAACTGATATTGAGGTGAACGACAAGCTGAACTGACTATCATCTCGGGCTAGGAACCTCATAGCCTTCAGACACCATTGCGAGAAGGATCGCAAGAAAGAACTTGCGTCAGGAGAGGCATCCCAGTTGAAGGTGTCGCGCCGATTCATCATCTCTGCCGGCATGCCGGACGGCATACCAGACTTGCGGACGGGCCTGATGGGTGTTTCCTCGGCTGCTGAAGGTTGCAAAAGGGCTTCTTGGTCGGGGTCGTTGGGGTCAGGCTTGACCGCAGGCTTTTCCCATTGTTTCCAGAACTTCAACCAGCGCCAGGTGTGCCCACTGGTAGCGCGCGCGTACTTCAAGTCCTCCAAAACCGTCAAGTAGGCATCGATGTCTTCGGCCACGTTCTGCAGACTGAAACTGAAGTGGCCGCACGCAGCCGCCACTTCTTCAATGTCGGCCTGAATCTTCTCTGTCCTGGCTCTTCCCAGCTCAATGCTTTTGTACAGGTCTCGAAGTGCACTTGTTCTCGTATCGTTGTAAACACCCAGAGCATCTTTAAGACTCTGTCGAAAATTCTCGTTAATGCTTATATCGTACTTGGGCGGTGGTCCGAAGGTTGGATCTCTCAGGATTTCCGACAGGGTATAGGCCAAAGACTTCATTGATGGGCCCAACAGAGCAATGAATAGTTCAAATATCTCTGACGGCGCCCGGAATGACGTCAAAGGGTTTGCAGAGGAACAGTTCGAGCCCTCTTCGGCGCTGGCACGATACTCCATCTCCAGTTCCTCCGACTCTTCGATTGCTGCCAGTGTCGCGGCCTTGTCGCGCGTGTTCTTAAGATACTGCGACATGGCACGCGTCAAAGTTGGCGAGTAAATGACGGTGCCGCCGGGGGACTGGATACTGTTGGGGCCGTCCTGAGGTAGCTCCTTCAGGAGAGCGAACTGAGTCTCCGCGGCGCTGCGAAGACCTCCAATAGACTGAGCAAGGACCTCGAAGCATCTGACGACCTCTCTGTCCATCTTGTAGATCGTCTCACGACCAAGGATATAGTGCTCCAGCTTTGCCTCTCGCAAGTTTGTGGTCATCTTGGTGTATGATGCTTTAAAATCCTTGTCCACTCGGGTGTAGTCACCAGACGACAGCTCCTCCTCGGTGCCGTTGAGGAAACCGCGGGCAATCATGGCAAGCAAGTCTCCAAGAGATTCCGCTGACGTGTTCATGGTGCTTCTCAGACCCGCCCTCGCAGACGTTCGCCAAGCTAAGATGTTAACGAGTGCAGTGATAGAAACACCCATGACAAGAATCTTGAAGACCTGCACAACCTTGATAGACGACAAGTATCCACCTTGAACAGCTTCTTCTTTGGTAACAATGGTGATAATGGCGATGGATGCTAGTGTGCACCCGACATTCACCAAGGGGCTGTTCATTCTCTGCTTGATCCAGCCCACGAATCCAAGGCCGAAACCAATGCAGATGATCAATATCATGACATGCGACAAAACTTGGAAGCCAACTTCGTTGCCCAGCACAGACAAGCCCATGGATAGCATGGATATGATCTGGGCGTAGCCGATAGCGCAGAATGCGATGAGGACTGATTCAACCATTGAGCCCCAAGTGCGATTGGCATGAAAGTATACAGTGATCGTGGCGACGACATGCTTGCCATCGGGTTTCCCCAAAAAATCAGAGATCGGTTCGAGGTAAGTGGCCATACTGCCGAGAAGGTAGGCAAGGGTGCACTTGAGCACACCCTTGCCAGCTGGAGACCGGAGGAAGTCCCAGAACTTCAGAAAGCTCGTCTTGACATTGTGTCCTATGGTATGGGCGCGCTCGCTGTTTGTTTCGGACAGCAAAAGAGACCGGTAGCCATCAGGGTCATCGGAACGATCGTTGTCGATGCTCGGGTTTCGGAGGGTGAACTGGCGATGGCTTCGCTCGCCCGTATCGGGTATGATCACAGTGCCATTTCGTAGCTTCTAGTTTGGGGAAAAGACGGTCACGTTAACTTCGCGAACTCTTGGGTTCGGGCTCATTTCGAAGCCCTTTGCTCCAGGAGTGGTCACCTACATTTCTCTTGGAAGGTCTTTTAGGGGGCCATTGACTGTGGTTCGAAGTGCTCATGACGGCGAGTTTGTCGCATTCTCTGAAGGTAGCGTTGGGGTGAGCGCGGCGGACGCGTGAGCTTTGCGACCAGTGGTGTTAGAATGCAGTCGTGCGAGTCGGAAAGCACCGATTTGGTCGAGCGGTCAAGCTTCCGGTCGCAGACTGCAGCGCGACTGCGGTATTGGTTGGTGTTGAGCTGTACTGTGCTCGGCCAAGGGCAAATGTCTCTCGAGGCTTGGAGATGACGAGCCAAGACCCGGTCAGTCTGCCAAAAGCGCCTACTGGGATGGAGAGTGGAGAGCTGGGAGCTCGAGCTGCAACCTCGAGTGGACCCACGATCAGTATCCTTGTTAGCGCTGTCGAGCTGTGGCTGTGATTGTGGCTTGCGATTTCGCCCCTCACCTTCCGCTTGCTCCAAGGGTGGGGGGGGGGGGGTTAGCCTGCTTTGTTGGCCAAATGCCAACAAGTGACTGACAATCATTTCACTAGTACCTAGTTGCGACTGCTGGTTGATCTCCTTCGAGATAGCTATACAGGTTTGATAGACGCATCCTGAGCCTCCAGTATCCTTCAGTAAGCGACTGGCACATGAAGCTCAACAAGGTTTCCGGATTCGCAACCTTCACTCTATGCGAAGATTTCTGTCGACTATGGCGTCTTATAGCCCTCGGCGGTTCGCGCCTCTGAAGCAAGGTGCTCCATCCGATGCTCCCCTCCTGAAAGGCGTTGTCTTTGACGTCGACGGTACACTCTGGTACGTCGCCCCCAACCCACGACGTTCTCCGCATCATCAACCGCAAATGCTTACATCACATATCAAGTGAGCCGCAGACGTACATGTTCGGACAAATGCGCAGCGCTCTTGGTATTACCAAATCCGTCGACATTCTCGACCACATTTACTCTCTTCCCACGCCCGGGGCACAGGAGAAAGCAATGGAGTCGATTCGCGCCATCGAGCGCGAGGCTATGGCCACCCAGGTCGCCCAGCCAGGTCTCGAGACACTCATGTCCTACCTTGACTCGCGGGGCATTCGCAAGGGCATATGCACGCGCAACTTCGATGCCCCAGTCGCTCACTTGCTCGGCAAATTTCTCTCAGGCAGCATGTTTGCGCCCATCGTCACAAGAGACTTTCGTCCACCCAAGCCCGATCCCGCAGGCATTTTGCACATTGCTCGGAGCTGGGGTCTCCTAAAAGAGGCGACCGAAACAGGCACGGAGGTAGAAGCTGATGCTTCAGGACTCATCATGGTTGGCGATTCCATCGATGACATGACAGCAGGCCGAAAGGCTGGTGCTACGACCGTCTTGTTAGCGAATGACGTCAATGTCCATCTAGTGGACCATGAGCATACTGATTTGGCCATTCGCCGCTTAGACGACCTTGTATCCATTCTCGAGGAAGGTTTCGTAAGCCGGGACACTGTCGTCGAGTAGAAAAAGCCCGAACAACCTCAAAATGTATATCAAACGTATGACTCCCGCTATGCAAAGGCCAATCACAACACTAGAGAAGGCGAGGTGGTGGGCTAAAGCCAGGAAATATCAGATAGACCTAACTTGATGCAAATATTGATGAAAAGAAATCTTGATTGTGGTGTCTAAGTGATCTGCACGCCTGCAGTGACATCCCAGTCCTCACAGTCTGGGTACCTGATTCCCCAATCTTCTATCAGATCATCCTCTGGACGATCCAGCAGAGCCACTTGTTCCAGACAGGCCTATTCAACTATTTGATGGTACGCAGAGTGAGTCGAATGTAATGACAGATCTCCAAGATAGACGGGCTCAATCCAAACGCCGAAAGATGCTGAAGAGTGCCACACCAGGCAACGAGAGAGATGTACGAAGCGGTTGACAACGAGGGGGGAGAGTAGCCCTGTGCCAAACTAATATGGAGGCCAAGAACATGAGCGTCACACTAGTCTGGCGACGTACATGTGAACTCTGCGTATGGCCTCCACTCATCATTGTAAGGACCCGGTCATCATGTATGGGCTCCGTGGCGATGTTTGTGAGGCAAGCTCTTCTGACCGGAGTGACAAGACAGTGAGCCTCGCAGGAAGCCGAAAATGGTGTTGAGCATGTGTAGGCTGTTTCAGGTGCTGGCGCTTAATTCGAGGACCCATTGTAAACGTCATTCATGTAGCCTCTGTTGGACGGCGGCATGCCGAACGTAGCCTGCCTTCTGTTCTCCCTACGGCCGTCGTCAGGAGTTCCTTTCCGGGGTGGTGGAGGCGGCAGAGGACCTCCGGGTGGCGCTGGGCGAACTGGGAGACTAAAGGTGGCAGCACTGGCGCTGGCGGGGCCGGCACTATTGGGATAATCACCGGCCTTGGGGATGGAATTGGTAGTGACAATCCTCTGTCCCATTCCTGGATGGCCTGGTCCTGTGGATCTTCCAGATGGCAGCCCATTTCTAGTGGGAGATCGGTTGTGCGAAGGTCCGTACTGATCTCTTGGTGATATGATGCCAGCGCCAGCGATTGGAATTTCTCCCGAGGTTGGCGTATCGAATGGGCGGTCATCATTGGAGTTGTTATGGTACGTTGGTGAATCGCTTGAGTTTAGCAGCTCTCGTGTAGCAGGTGACAGTTGTGGGGCCAGGTGGGATTTGCGGTTGTCTCGCTCCATCATGCTGACTGCCCAGTCACGGAGGTTGACTGGCGTTCTCTTGGCAGCCTGCACAAATGGATCACGATCCTGAGTGTTCGGTCAAACGCTGTCTCTTCGTGTGGCACGGGAACCCGGTAGACATAGCAATTGGGCAGGTACTTACAAACAATTCCTGAGGCGTGGACCGCTCCTCGGGGACTTTAGAGAGACACCTTTGAATCATATCCTCGAGGATAGAAGGGAATGCGTCACTCTTCGGCAGCTTCGGCGCGGGCTCGTGAACGATTTGCTGCAACAGGTCAAGAATACCAGCAGGGGCACCATCCCCATCCGATAGCTGCTCGCTTGCGGCGAACGGAAACTTTCCAATGGCAAGCTCCATGATGGTAAGGCCAAAACTCCAGACATCTGACTTGACTGTATACTTTTCGCCTTGGATACGCTCAGGGGCCATGTAAGTCGATGTGCCAACAAAAGTGTCTGCGACAGAGTTGACAAGTTCGCCAGAAACACCAAAGTCACACAACTTGATGCTGCCCCTAGAGTTGACCAGAATATTGGAGGGTTTGATGTCGCGGTGCATGATGTGATGCTTTGAGTAGAGGTACGTCAAGCCACCTAATGTAGCTTCAGCGATCTTGCCGAGCACATCGACTCGAATGGGACCAAAGACCCGCGACACCCGGTCCAAAGAACTAAGCCAATGTGTCAGACGTACGCCTAAAATTCCAGGAACGGAGAAAAACTTACCCAACGTCCATGTATTCCATACACATGATGACATCGTTGTTGTCGTTGAGGAATGCGCCGTAAAAGTTGACAATGTTTGCCGAGTGGCATCCGTGCATAATCTGTAGCTCTCTTACTATACGTTTACGCATCTCCTTCTTCGCTTCTACGTGGATGACCTGTGCACCGTTAGCGTGATGCCCAACATCAACATGAGTATGCACAAAGCATCACCTTTCTGGCCATGACAGTTCCGGTAAGAACATGCCTAACCTTGCTGACCGTACCACCGTTGCCGGATCCCAGTTCTTTCAGGACCTCCAGGTCTTCTTGTTTCAGGTCCAGCTTGTACTCAATGCCAATCTCGAGTTGTGCGCTCTGGTCGTTGCCGTCCTGATCACGGGAATCGTAGTCATGCCTGCTAGTTTCGGCGGTTGGGGGCGGTTTGGGAGCAGCAGGCGTCAGGGCGAGGCCCTTGACGTTCTTGCGCTTCATCGAGCGCGGAGCGAAAGGATCGGGCATATTGGGCGATGTGCGTGGCCGACCGGCGTTCGGAGGCGTCGAAGATTGGGTAGCAATGGGCTTCAAGAAGCCACAAGTCGGAGCCGGACAGATTTTCTAGCGAAGTGACTCTCTGCTGTCCGTAGATTGTCTTTCAAAGCAGAGATGAGGCGACAGCCTGCGCTGAAGATGAATCGGTAGTTGCAAGTCGTCAGGTGTCGGCAGCCGATGGCATAGAGGGGGAACGGATGAGCTGAGGCGCGGGGCAGTGGTTGCATGCAGCACAGGTTGGGCGGCGGATCTCGACTTGACGTTCAAAGTCAAGGTGAAATAAAGGAGACCTCGCGAGGCGTACGAGGCACAGGTTGCCAGAAAAGTGCGCGGCGTACCTGATGTTACGCTTTGGCGAGGTGTGGTGAGGAGGATGGAGCACTTAATCAGTGTCGTTCCCCTGGTCCCTTTCCGGTCGAGGTGGGGGTTTTATCGGGTACGACAAGTCGATAGTGCCGGAGCAGCAGCACCAAAGACCAGGGCGCTTAGGCGGTTAGGCAGGCGTACCGTTCAGGGGATGACAGAATGACAGAATGACAGGTACGCGGAAAGTTGGTAATACAAGGTTACCCACAGCGACGTAAAGGCCCGAGATGTGCGCAACAACCGTGTGTCTTGGGAGACGTGTCAAGCTCAGCAGAAGCACAAGTCGCGAATCGGAAATGTGGCGTGTCAGCAGAGAGGCGACGGGGATCCTGACACTTGCGGTGGAGCGACAAATGGGAGAAGGAGGGGATGCGGCCGGAGAGGGGTTTCGGATAGGAAGTTCGCTGAAGGAACGAAAGACGCGAGCAGCTAGGGGGGCCCCATAGACGCCTGGAACGCCCCGAGCACCCATGGACCCATCTGGAGTGTCATGATCTGCCCTACGAGATGGGGACCTGTAAATTAACTAGGCCGCTTCCTTGCAGATTTGCTCACATTTCCATTTGCTTCACCTCGAAGGAGAATGAGCCCGTACCTTGCACCGCTTCGGAACCCGTGGCCTTCCGACCTTCGTACCCGACCAGGAGGTAGAGGGCCTGGCTCATCAGAGCAGCTTCCTATCCTGCGTCACAAATCATATGTCACGCACCCTTCGTCCCCTACAGCCAACGATGTCAAAGCATCCAACTTTCTTAACGACGTGGGCTCTGCCGTGGCCAAAACGGGCTTGTGTCTCAAGTGACAGCACCCAAGCTTATTGGTCGTTCTGATGCAATGCCCTACAAATCTCTCCGACTGCCATATTGCCTGGACTGGGTGCCTGTCCAACAGCAGCGAGGAGCAAGCCGTGACGAGGAGTGCATATGCGTGACTAAACGCAGCCAATCCTCATCAGTAGTTCAATCTTGGTCATCACGCGAAACCATCGTCTCGCTGCGCTTCGGCCCGTGATGCGCCTGATGCCAACGTGATGATAATGGCACTTTAGTCGCTGGCTCAGCGCGAAACGAGCCTCTTGTCAGCCACAACCAGTACTTGGTTTTGCCCAACCTGTGTCGTCGGGAGGATCTCACATTGGAGTTGGCCACAGGGTACTCGCGAACAGGAGTGGGCTTCACGAGGATGCACTCACGTAGCCGTGGCAGTCGGGTTGCCCAAGGTTCAGGTCTCAGGTCACTTGACCAGTCATTGACACTCTATCGCTGATTCCCTGCAGCTGTGACGTGAATATTGACCCCGGGACATCATTCCTGTTGCTCCAAAATAGAAAGAAACCCAAGTACTCCCACCCCTGTCAAGCTTGTCCATAAATGCATGGGATTGTTGGATATCCTGAGTTGCGGATGCACATCAAGTACCTGCTAGGCGGAAAGATGTAGAGTGCGACTTAATCTGTCATGCTTTTGGAAGCTTAGGTAAGTAGGTTTCGAGCAAAGGGCGGCTTATGTCATCTAGAGTACAGCACCTTTATGCATCATAACTCTTGAAAGGAAATCGTTATATAAGAGTGCAATTTTCGCCCAATTGAATCTTACTACGCCAGTACAAGCACCAGCAGCATTACAAGCTGAGGCTCGAGCCTTCCCTGAAAAGTTGGGTTCACGAACATACACGTTCCTTTCACGCGTCAATGTGTTAAGGCACTGCCTCACCACGTCCCCCCACGACAGCCCGGAATCTACGATAAAATCGGCGATTCATCAATCAATACGGCATTTGTTCTTTTGCACGAGAACCTAACGGACGAGAACGGTAGCCATACAGTACGAGCAGCGACCACACTTGCACGATCGGCTTCTTGCCTTCTGAGAGGATAGCTCGACAGCGCTCGGCGCACAACCTGTAGCCCAACATGAGCAACTCCATGCGAGACCTTATCAGTGGCGAAGCCGAGCTAGACGATGATGAAGAAGACGACTCGTACGGAGAGGAGAATGGCGAGCGCCGCACCTCGAAGGCACGAACAAACGCACTGGAGGACTCGTCGGAAGAAGAAGACGACGACGACGATGAAGAAGAAGCTGCCAAGGTAAATCGAACTGAGTGGTTCTGCCATGCAGTGGGCGACACTAATCTTCGCATAGATTCGCGAGGGCTTCATCGTTGACGAAGAT